CCCCCTTCCCTTACTCTTCTTTACAGATAAGAGAAAATTCATAATTCGATTTAACATGAATATATAAAAATAACAGAACAAAACAAAACAAAACAAAAACCCTTCACCAGCCTCGGACAAGGGTTCCAACATGGTCATATCCGCAACTGGTCATGATAATATATCAAACGCCTCACCAGGGGAACCAGTTCACCTCAGCTCAGCAGCAGCAGCAGCAGCAGCCGCGGACCTAGAAGGCAATGAGAGGTCATCCCTCCTGACCCCGTCAGCGGAAGCAGACGATGACGGCGACGGCGACGGCAACGGCGACCTCCTCACCGCCCACGAGGCGCGCGACCTGTCCCGCGGCCTGGCGGAGCGGCACCTGTCCATGCTCGGCATCGCCGGCGCCATCGGGACCGGACTCTTCCTGGGGCTGGGGGGAGCGGTGCAGACGGCCGGACCGGCGGGCGCGCTGATAGGCTACGCCGTCATCGGCCTGGTGGTGTGCGCCGTGCAGTTCGCGCTGGGGGAGGCGGCGGCGCTGCTGCCGGTGACGGGCTCCTTCGTCCGGCACGCCGAGTTCCTGGTCGACCCGGCCCTGGGCGTGGCGCTGGGGTACAACCTCGTGTACGGCAACATGCTGTCGATACCGTCTGAGATGACGGCCATCTGCGTGCTGGCCCAGTTCTGGTTCCCGGACTCGGACACGGCCGTGCCCGTCGTCGTCATCGTGCTGTCCATCCTGCTCACCGTCGCCGTCGGCATGTCGCGCATCCGCGTGCTCGGCGAGGTCGAGTACGTCTTCGCCTGGCTCAAGGTCCTGCTCGTCGTGGGCCTGGTCATCATGGGCGTCGTCATCGCCGCCGGCGGCGTCGACGGCACCCCCGCCGTCGGCTTCCGGTACTGGCGCGACCCCGGCCCGTTCGTCGAGTACCTCGTCGCCGGCTCGACCGGCCGGTTCCTGGGCGTGTGGGAGGTCCTCACCGGCGCCGTCTTCTCCTTCGCCGGCGTCGAGTCCATCGCCGTCGCCGCCGCCGAGACGCGCAACCCGCAGAGGGCCATCCCGGCCGCCTGCAAGCAGGTCTTCCTGCGCATCCTGCTCTTCTACGTCTCCTCCATCATCGTCGTCGGCATGCTCGTCGCCAGCGACGACGACCGGCTCGACGGCCAGTCCGGCGACGCCGCCCAGAGCCCCTTCGTCATCGCCGCCCAGGCCGCCGGCGTCCGCGCCATCCCGTCCATCGTCAACGCCGTCGTCATCACCTCGGCCTGGTCCTCGTCCAACCAGAGCCTGCTCGCCGGCTCCCGCGTCCTCTACGGCCTCGCCCTCAAGCGCCAGGCCCCCGCCGTCTTCCTCAGGACCACCTCCTGGGGCACGCCCTACGCCTGCATCGCCCTCTTCACCGCGCCCATGTTCCTCAGCTTCCTCACCCTCTCCAGCCGCGCCATCAACGTCTTCTGGATCTTCGTCGACCTCACCGCCGCCGGCGTCCTGGTCTCCTGGTCCTCCATCCTCCTGAACCATATCCGCCTCCGCACCGCCATGCGCGTCCAGGACATCCCCCTGTCCAGGCTGCCTTGGCATAACCGGGCTACGCTCCGTACCTCTCAGGCCGCTCTTGTCATGTGCCTGACCGTCTTGCTGACCAGCGGGTTTTCCGTGTTCTTTCCCGGCCATTGGGATACCAGCACCTTCATCTCGTCATATCTGTACGTCTCTTCTCTCCTCCCCCCCCTTCACCCGGCTCGCCCGCTCGCTCCGTCCACCCCGCTCGCTGACACGCCCAGCGACATCCCCCTCGTCCTGGGAGCCTACCTGATATGGAAGTTCCTCAAGAAGACCAGTATCGTCAGTCTCAAGAGCATCCCCCTCGTCGAAGCGCTAGATCAGGCCGACAAGGCGAGGGAGAGAATGTCCCGAGAGATCTGATACGTGATCGTACTCTGATCTTCCCGTCCTCCATCTTCCGTGCCCATTATTCTCGTCATCGTTGCAGCACACATAGACTTCTCATAGACCGAACATCAAGTTGGACAATTTCGATGGTTATTATCGCAGTATTATTAATCGAGCATCCTAAACACTCACCACACACGCAAGACATCTAGCTCAGGTGCATCTATAAGAGAAGGAAAGGAAAGAAATATGAAAACCCAGTATTGAGTGTCCCTCGGTGATGACCCAAAAATCCACTGTACGCCTCGCAATGCTCAAGAAAGACACCCCATCTATGCAAAACAAGACAAATGAAACGGATGTGACGGTCCCCTCTTGTACCCTTGCCTCCGGCGACCCTATCCTACCGGGCGTCCTTCTCGCTCCAACCCCCCCTACGGCATGACACCGTGACGCCACTGCTCGACCCGGTTGATGTTGGGGTGCAGCGCATCCCCAGACATGGGCATCGGCATCTGCATGCTCCCACGGTACCCATTCATATTCGTGCCAAGCCCGGCACCGTACCCGTACGCAGACGGCTGCTGCATGCCCATCTGCTGGCCCCCGAACCCGCCACCGGCGTAGTACGCACCCAGGCCCACGGCAGATCTGTGCCTGGCCATTTTGAGCTGCTGCGGCGGCGGCTGCTGCGGAAGCTGCAGCGACGGCTGGCGCTGGTGTTGGTTCTGGGTGGCAGGCTGCTGCAGGGAAGTGGTAGACAGCCTCGCCGCCCCGCCCTGTCCGTCATTGTACAGACCGCCTTTGAAACCGCCGGATCGGTCCGCGCCGGACGAGGGTATCTGCTGCTGGTAGTTCGTCCGTCGTGGGTAGGCAGATAGCATGTCTGCCATGCTGAGACGCTTGCTCATGCTCTGGGACTTGGCGTGGCCCTGCTGGCCCTGCTGGCCCTGCTGGCCCTGGGTCTCGGTCTGGGGCTGGGGCTGGTCCCCCCTGTAGCCCATTTCCCGTTCGCGTGCCTGCTTCTCGGCCTGGAGACGTGCCCTCCTCTGGCCTAGCGTCTCGTCTTCTTCGTTGACGGCCGCGGCGCCAGCCTCGTCGGCACCGGTAGGTCTGCCCTCGTCCAGCAGGTCGCCGAATTGGCTGAGGAGCTCTGCCGAGAAGGCGCTGCTGACGGGTCGTGCGGGTGGCAGGGACTTGGCGTCCAGACGGCGCTTCCTCTCCCCCAGAGTCTCCCCTTCCACCTCTGGCTCTTCGGGTCCGGCTGCTGCATGCTGGTCATCATTCAGGTTGCTGGCGCTGCCACTGCGCGAGTGTGAGTAGGCCGGGATGGGGCCGGACAGCGTGGCCAGGTTGATGGCGCTACCGTTGCGCGAGTGCGAGCTGGCCGGGACGAGACCGGACAGCGTGGCCGTGCTGGCACGGTTCCTGGCCGCGGCGGGGAAGGCCATGCTGGCGCGGGGGTCGAGCCCCTGCAGACGGGCGCGGCGGTGGCTGAGCGGTTCGTTGTCCTCCATCTCGCGCTGCTCTATGAGCCCCGCGGGCTGGCCGAGGTCGGCCATGGACCTGGCGCCGAGGCGCTTGGCGGCGATCAGGGCCAGCGGCACGTCCTCGTCGTCGGAGCCGTTCTGGTCGCGGTGGGCGTCGGGATCCTCCCACACCAGGTTGACACGCTTGCTCTGGCGCTCCTGACGCTGCCGCTCGGCCACGGCGTCCATCTCGAGGAGCGTCATGTGCGACGACTCGCCGTAGGGGCGCTGCGTGCGCTGCGCCTGCTGGTGCTTGCGCTGCTGGAGCTCGGCGAGGAGCGTCGTCGGCTGGCCGTTGAAACCCGGCTCCTCATCCGCGTCGTCGTCGTCGTCGTCGTCGCCGCCGCCGCCGTTCCTGCTGTTGAGGGCCTGCGTCTCCGAAGTCTCCGAGTCGGACCGGACATCGGCTGCTGCTGCCGCGGCGGCGGCAGCGGCTTCTTCTTCTTCCTCCTGGGTGGCCTTCTTGTTTCGCCTGAACCATGCGAACGACGACTTCTTCTTGGCTTCCTTGGGCGGGCTGGGTGCGGGGGCGTCGGCGAGGTTGGACGGCGAGGTCGGGACGCGGTGGTGTCCCTTCTTCTTGTTGCCATGCATGCCGTCGTTGTTGGGGATGCCGTTGCTGGCGAAAGCGTCGGCCGGCGCGTTGGTCGAGGCGTCCAGGAAGCTTTCGAGCGTGTCCATGGCGGACCCGTCCTGCGCCGGCTTGACCACCTCGGCCATCGGCGGGGCGGGGGGCAGGTCGAAGAAGGCGCTGGCCCGCAGCTGAGGAGGGAGGTTGTTCAGCCGCGTCATGCGCACGGCAGCACGGTCCGGTTGGGACAGTTTCTGTGGCCGACGCAGCGGGGACGACGGGTCTTGACCTCCTGCTCCCTCGTCGCGGTGCTCCTGCCGCTGCTGTCCCTCGACGGCGTCAGCTGGCTTGCCTGACTCATCCTGCGGTGCCGGGTGGGTCTGGCCCTGTTCCTGCTGCCGATCAGACGATGTCGAGGGAGGCTCCGAGATGGAGGCCCATCGGACGTGAGACAGGGCTCCAAACGAGTTCCTCTGACCGGCAAGCGGGTCCGGCAGCCAGGAATCCCTCGATGCTTCGGCACCGACGTCGGGCATCTCCGAGTGGCGCCTCATCTTTTGCTTCTGCTGCTGCTGCTGCTGCTGCTGCTGCTGCTGCTGCTGCTGCGCTCCCGGTGCGTGGTCTGTCGCCATGACGCTCAGGACCTTGGACCGCCGGGCGTTGTGCTCGTGCGTCTTCTGCTTGGACAGCTTGGGCGGCAGGTTGAGCATGGCTGGCACGCGGACCGGGTAGTACCGCATCTGGCGGCCCGTGTCCTGGTCCACGTACGTCTGGGGCGGCACGGCCATGCCCGTGGGGTTGAAGTGCGCCGCGGGCGCGTCGGATTCGCCCCCGACCGCGGGCACGGCCGGGGCCTGTGCGGGGGGCTGCGCCGAGGCCTGCGCCGAGGCCTGCGCCGAGGCCTGAGCGGGGACCAAGCCCAGGGCTCGTGCCAGGGAGTCGTCCGACTCGGGCTCCCAGTGCACGCCGTCAAAGTCCACGAAGGCATCGCGTGCCTGCTGGAAGGTGGCGGCAGACTGGGCGCTGAGCGGCCTCGGCTGCTCCTCCTGGGTGTAATGCGAGCTGGGAGGTCTCGTGTCGTCCTGAGTATAGTGGGAGCTGGGGGGTCTCGGGTCATCCTGCTCCTCCTCATGAGGCGCCGCCGCTGCATCCCCGGAGGGTGCTTCTTCGGCCGACAGGCTCATCGGGGTGACGCCACGGTTGAGGATGTGGGCGAGCGAGCTGTTGATGTCGTCGTCGTTGTCCGTGTCCCAGGGGTTGCCGGTGGGGATTGCGTCATCGTGGATGGACTCGGCGGCATCGGCGGCATCGAGAGCGTCCCGGCCGAGCGAGGTAGGCTCCGACTCAGATATGTCGGCGAGCGACAGGGGCTTCGAGGTGGACAGGACACTCCTGACGGAGTCCTTCCCGGGGCCGTGGCGGGCCAGTCCAGCGGGAATGTCCTGCCTGTCGACGCCGATGTTGCTGATGTTGCTGCTGTCGCTGTTGTTGTTGTTGTTGTTGTTGCTGTTGTTGTTGTTGTTGTTGCTGCTGCTGCTGATGCTGACGTAGCCGGCATCCACGTCGGGTCGGCCAGAAGACGAGTTCTTGGATCCGGAGCGGAGGCGGCCGGTGAGGGAGTGCGTGGGGGACATGATGAAGCCTCCGGGCGAGTATCCGCCTGTTCTCGCGGCGCTGTTCGTGGCGACGATGGACGACGCGTTGGACAGGTGCCGTTTCAGCTGGACCGAGGGGGGCCGGCTCTGTGTGTGGCTGTGACTTGGGCTGTAGGTGGCGGTTGTCTGGGTCTGTGTGCGTTTGAGCTCGCTGTCTAGTTGACGGATGGCATCGCCGATGGAGCTGGTGCTTGTGGACAGCCTCTCGGCTGCGGCCTCGAGGTTGGCAACGTTGCTGTTGTTGCTGCTGCTGCCGTTGGCGTTGGCGCTGCTGTGGGCGTTGACTTGCCGATGCAGCGGAGGCGAGGCGATGGGAGGCAGGGGAGTGTTGCTGCAGGAGGATGTGCGGGTTGGAGGTAGGGAGATTGGTCTCGGGTGGACGATTTCGGATTCGGGGAGGATGCTGCTAGTCGTGCGGAGGAGAGGGAAGATTTGGCTGTTCAGAGGGGGGGGGGAGGTGGTGGGAGATGACAGAGCTGTGGAGGCTCGGGCATCACGACCAGGGGCTGCCGACCTCGTATTCGTCGTCGTGGTTGTCGCGGCGGATTTGGCCGACGGGGTATTATGGGGTCCAGGTTGGTGTGGCTTGTCGGATAGAGGCGGCGAGATGAGATGAGGCTGCTGATTGATGAATACGGAAGTGTCCTGGTGATGACGGCCGGGAGCAGCAGAAAAATGAGCGGTGGAGGAGGAGTGATTCCTGGCAGCAGAGAAGAAAGAGTAGGAAGTCGGTTTGCGTTGCTGCTGCTGCTGCTGGAGTGCAGAGAATTCCGGTGACGCGGGCGTCGCTGGTGTTACTCCCGCGACAAGATGTGGCTGAGTCGACATGATGTGCGGCTGGAAAGGAGCGTGGCCGTTCTGAGCAGTCGTATTGTCGATATTGGCGGTAGTATTAGTACTCTTACGAGCAATCTTGTTGATGCTACGAATAATAATAGTACTGTGTTCACTCGTAACGGTGTTCGTGTCGTTGTTGTTGCTGCTGTTCTTGTTGTTGCTGCTGTTTTCGTCGTCGTCGTCGTCGACTATTAGACTGTCAGGAGTCAAGATGGCGTTTGGTGGTGACGGAGGAATGTTTTTGGAGACAGGGTCCGCCGACGGTGGCATGGTCCATCTAGTAATCTGTCTTCTGCCTCTGCTCTGCTCCTTTTCTTTTTTTTCTTCTTTTTTTTTTTTTTGGAAAGAGCCAGCTGTATCTTGACTGTATATTTCTTTTTTTGGTCTGTTTTCCTTTCCTGGGACTCTCCAGCTAAGGGATGCAGCTTGTGTTATCTCGTATTGTGACTAGACCAATGTGGAACGAACCGGTCAGTCAAGGGCCCCCCCAGTCAGTTCCCTAGGCACTCGTATCGCCTAGACAGGAATGGAGGAGGAAAGGTATGAACCTGAAGCGTGGAGTTGTTTGTTATTTCGGGTGTCCCGGGGGGGGAGTGAGTGGACAAAAAAAAAAGAAGGAAGACAGAGGAGAACAAAGAAACAGGACGGAAAGAGAAGAACAGAGAAAAGAAAGGACCGGGTTCTCTTCTAGCTCTCTACTGATGATGGCAGCTGATGCAAGGACGTCGCGAGTGATGAGGTGGCGGCGGTGACGATAAGCCCCCATGTACTCTCTACCCGTATGCGTGTGCTCCAGTCGTATACGTATTCTCAATCCAAAATCGTGAGCAGATGCCAGATGCCGTCTGGTGGTAATCTCCAATGATGCGGGTGCGACAAGAGAGAGACAGGGACAGAGAGATAGAGGTGGCAGGCTGTCGATTGTTGGTTGGGAAAGATGACGAGGGGGTGTGCTAATCAAAGACACATGTGCTGATAAGTGCTCGTAAGGTAGTAGCAGAGATAGGAAGGCCGAGCTCAGGTCAGACAATGCGATGATGCTGTCGAGCTTGTATGATACTGGGACATGTACGAGCATGCAATCTGCATCTGTACTCCGACTCCGTACACGCAAGTAAGTAGGCTCCAGAGTCTAGACACTCCACGCCGTACAGGGAAGGGAATCGAGGAGGGAGGAGGAGGAGGAGGAGAGAGAGAGGGGGGCGGGGCGGAAGAGACGGGATGAGAAGAAAAGAAAAAGACAGGGAACATGTACATTGATGTGCAGTATCATCCGCTTCAGTCCATGCACCGCATCGCGATTGCCAGAGTAATATGTATCGATGCGAACAGCTTAGCCTCTGGGAAAAAAGAAAAGAGAAGGGGGGGGGGGAAGGGATAGACGAGCAAAGCAAGGAACCAAGCATCATTATCCGTGGACCGTGACATTACGGTATCCGTATCCGTACTCCGTATTGACGAAGTAATACAAGATGCATGTAAATAGGATCAAATCACCCGGCCCCATGTGTTGACTCTCGCGTGGCCTCGTTACGGGTATCCGTACCTGTATCACGAGTACATCTTACCTACGGTGCAGCCCAGTACGGGTAAGACCTCACGAGCAACAGTATCCATCTACGGTGGTGCTCGTACAGGATAATCCGTACGTGATACGAGCATCATACTGGTAATCACCACCAGTACCAGCGGTATCAGTACGGCGTACGGGGCAGTACATGATACGTACATAGATGCTCCGTACTCTGTACTCTGTACTCCGTAACCTGTAATCTGTACACTATCCGCAGCAATAATGGCAATAATAGACTTCTCGACCCTCGTATCCTCCTCTTCCATTCCGGTTTTCTTCTCAGCACCGCGGGACTGCGCATGTATCACCAGGCATGCACCAGATACACCAGGACGTCGGCCCCAACGGGCTGGACTCTGACTAGCAGGGATCATCGACAGCCAAGCACGAGCAGGCACTGCTGCATTGGCAAGCAGCCTCTGACATTGCAGGGGTTTCCAAACGATGACGGTTACATTATGGCAACATCCGACCGATATCCTTCTTTCTCTCTCATCTCTTCACTTCTTCTTGCCTCTCTCCGTCCTCTCTCTCTCCCTCCCTCTCTCTCTCTCCATCACGCGTGCAGATCTGTACACTGACATTATCCTTTCCGGAAATCTCTCCCTACATCCACAGGGCCACCTGCAAGCTTCTCCTTGTTTTTCCCACCATGTACCCGTGCCGGGACGGTGAGCAGCATCTGTACACGGGGATGGGCTGACAGCTTTGGATATGGTTGGATTAAGCATGGAAAGTAATCAATAACATCACTGTTCCTCTCCCGAACTGATAATCAAGATAACAATGATACGACGATGCAATCCCCTCCTACAGGTACATGTGTCATGTAGACTCTGCCCGTACTCGTGGCTGTAGCTCCTCCAAATCTTCTCCTCTAGACTCCACGCTACCCCCTCCCTCCCCACCACCAATTGAAACAATGTCTCATCCAGACGACCCCATCTCCAGTCTTTGACTCTCTAGCAAATCTCTGTATCTCTGTACCTGCCAACTGCAGTCCCCCCCCCCCCCCCCCCCCCCCCCCCCCCCCCCCCCCCCCCCCCACCTTCGGTTGTTTGCAGCCCGGGATTGTTGTCTGTCTCATTGCTGGCCCGGCCACTGGCATCGGCCTCTTTCTTCGAGGACGAACATGCAGCCCTTGTACGTCGTCGAGAGGGGTCGATGAGGTGCAGAGCCATGCCGGACACCCGCTTTGCGTAGGTACGTCGCCCCAACCTCTCCGCGGTAACGTCGATACAGGTCTCCTCGAGCATCTCTCTCTCTGTCCTGGATGGAAGGATTCCTCTCCATGTCTCTCATGACAGCTCGTAAGTCGCGAGCAGCAAGCTCTCGAGGGCGTCCGCTGCGAGGAGGAGACTTTCCTGATCCCCCGATGTGATGTAGCGGCGGGATGCGAAGCCGGAAACGGACCCAGCTGGGAACACCTCCCTCGAGGGCAACCTACCTTGATCGGGGCCATATGGCCTTCGCACTTCATCCGAACCCTCCTTCTCTCCTGGGGAGACCGATGCTTATCGTGAGGCATCGTGTCCCGAATTTTCGCGGTCGAGAGAGGGAGCGTTGTTCCTTTTATTGTATGGTGACGCGTTTGTAGATGTAGAGTGAGAAACCGCCGATTTAATTCTCATCATTCAACTCCTCCACTGCAGTACTCCTCACTCCATTACTCCGTGCAGATTGCAGATTACACAATCCGGAAACGGAAAACGGTTTTGCTGGCATTGACTGTCGGTGGCCTCCATCCTTTTTTTCCACCAACTCTGGAGAAGCCCTACCCTCCTCTCTCCGAGTCCCTTTTCTTTTGTGGTGCCGCACGCGTACACATGCACACACACACACACACACACATGCACACCACAATCACTCACTTACTCACTCACACACACAGTCGTAGCCATGTGTTATACCATCATAGGTTCGAGTTCCTAGCCTTTCTGCACCGCTGCTTTTCCTTCTTGCCCTGTCCTCTCCCTTCTCCGTTCAATGTTTGGACGAGCATGGACAGGATAGCCCTGCATCGTCCGTATCTGGTTCCGATACCAGACCGGCTACTGTTCCCTTCTCTTCTCTTACCACTCCGTGCGCCGGCTGCTTGCTGGATCAGACCTACTCTTCCCGTCTCTTTTCAGCCTTGCCTTGGGTCCTAGGGTTTACTCTTCTTTCTTTCTCTCTGAACCCAACAGCACAGCTGATTATCAATCTACTAATCCCATATTGTCATGACTGACAGAGATCGGTACGGTCGGGCCCTTTTTAGTGGAAGAAGAAGGAGGAGGAGGAGGAGGTGTCGATGCGGATTCCCATGGTCATCATATCAATCACCAGTCTGCGACCCCCACCAGACCAGATCTGGCAGCAAGACGTCGTTGTATGGTGAGGGCAAACTGCTTCCCAGGTTGGCTCCAAGGTGCTGGGCATATCTGGCAGCCAGGGCTGGCAGCCATCTCGATGTCGCCGGGCTGCGCACGCTGCCATCGTATTCGTACAGTCTCCGTAGATGATCATGGTATACTCTGTCAGACTTGTCCAGGATCTGTCGGAGATGGGACGCCTTGCTGGCTTTTTCTGGCTCTCTCTCTCTCTCTCCCGATCGATGGCAATGTCCCGACGAGGGGGGCCAATGTGCCCAACGGCGCGCGGCGCATGTGGCGGCACATCTCTCTCTCTCCGTGTATGTGTCTACATGTATGCAGGAAAAAGAAAAAAGTATCGCTCTGGAGGTCCCCCCCCCCCAAAAAAAAAGAAAACCCCACCGACAACACATTGCGCTTGCCTGCGTGGCGTGGGGGGACCGCTGTACATCGGAACTGTCTTCCGCAGACGTGGACGACGCCTTGGCTTGCGCGCCCGCGCAACGGCTGGTGTCCTCTTTCTCTCTTCACCATCGTCTGCCGTGATAGTACGGCGTATATGGTACAGTGTAATATACTATATTCGTATTGAGAAGTCGAGGAAGCGAAGTATGCCCCCCCCCCCCCCTCCTCTGTCCGATGGCTGGTTTCGGCTGTGTGCGTGTCAAGGTTACGGCCATCATGATGCCGCATGGGGGTAGTGGCATGAGTGTTCAGTTACACGCAAACGTGGGTAGGGTGGTTGGTGAGCTCTTCCTACAGAGATAGAGGAGGATATCGGATAAGAAGTCGGAACAGATCATCATCTCCCTTTGATGAAGCCGAAATGGGTCAACCGATGTTCACCAGGGGGGAGGGGGGGGGGAGCCATGCTCGCTGCCCTTGCTAGCCCCCCTCCCCCATAAGGAAATTGTCGGTGTGGGAGTTGCGGTAGATGCGGTACCGTAACTACTATGGGGTAGAGTTGACGGGGAGCGATAATGACCGCAAGATCCAACGGTCAAACTGGGATGTTCTACGCCACGGGGAAGAGAAGAGGAAAGGAAATCTGATGATTAGTCGCTCAGTGAATGTTGATTGTTGTTACGGTGTGTGTAGACAAAGAGAGCGAGGCCTGGATGTGAGCAAGCCATATATCAAGTCCTCGAAGTGTGTTGGTGGCGGTGGCAGAATGCGTACGTAATCATATATCCACGACGTAATAATGGCCGGGAACGGAAGGAGGGAGAGCGAAGAGGGGCAGAATCGCCATCTGCGTTGCGCTTGTATGGAGAAAGTTTTTTTAAGCGTTCGGAAAGACAGGAAGTAGAAAAAAAAACTTTGATACGTAAGTGTTACGGATAACTAGGGGGGCATTAATATATTAAAGAAGCCCAGCCGTAGCATCAAATCATGCACTGCTGCACAGCTCTGCGTTATGGTGTCCTACGACTGAGAGATCCAGGAACCCGCACCCGGTTTGCGCCTACCCCGGGTACATGACTATTCTATTCCTTATAATCTGCACTCTCTTGCTCACTACCAGACTCTGGTAGTCCTGCTACCTGAGTCCCGTGTAGTGTATTAGTAGGAAGCTAGAATCCATGAGCCCCACCGTCTTCGGCTGCGAAAAAAAAAAAGATCGTGACCTGAACCAAGGCCCAGCGACCAATTCGGCGCCACCGATGGGCGAGATACTGTGTCAGCGCTGCAGCCGTACCTCATCACTCTTCTGGTAACTCCCACCAACGTCGCCCCCTCCTCTCTCTCACCCATATCTCTCTCCTCGCCATAACTAGCAAACTCTCTTTTACCTTTTCCATACTATATCGAATTCTGGTTTCTGGTTCTTTTCCGTTTTCCGTTCCTTTTCCTCCTCTTATCTACTACTCTTCGTGCGTGGGGTGTGTTCTCGGCAAAACAGAGTGTCGTGTGCACACAACTCGCACTCAACCATCCCCCTCCCCCTCCCATCGTCAGTCACCTTGGGCACATCATCGTCACAAGTACCTCTCTCTCTCCTTACCCTCCCCGCCTTGCCGGACCGCCCGTCATGGCCAAGCCAGACGAGCCACGAGGGCGGTTCGCTCCCATCCCCATCGAGACAACGTACGAATCATATCGCAAGAGTCCGAGGAAGCAACACTCGAGCCATACTGCCACCTCGACGACAGCACATACCGATACACCACAGCGACAATCTACGCACATTGGGCCCGCTCCCGTACCGACACCCGATGCATCGCCAAGATCACAGTCTCCTGCCGCCGCCGGTGCCGGCACGACGGATGCTCATGGTGGTCAACGCCGCCGCTTCGCACCCCAGCTCATCGAGTCGTCGCGGAGGGCTCGCCGAGTCGGTGACGCCGGACCGGCTACGAGACCGACCGACAAGACCGACATAACACCCTACACCAAGAATATCTACACGGCCAGCAAGCCCAAGGTGCGCCGGGGAGGAGGTGGCGGCCTGGACTCTGCCGGCGGTGCCGACGGCGAAGGGGGGCAGCAGAGCCGTCCGAAGCCCCACCGCCGCGAGTCCGAGGAGGAGGCCGTGCAGGAGTACCTCCTCCAGCTGGCGGCCAAGGAGGCCGCCCTGGCCGTCTTCCCCAACATCCGTGCTCGCGAAGGTGGCGTCACGCACTTCTACTACCGCGAGAGCTCCGGCAGCGAGAACTCGCCCGAGGCGGCCTCGCCGGCGGACGATGATGAGCAGCAGCAGCAGCGGCATATGCCGCGCACGCGACGCAAGTCGTCTAGCCTCGGACTCAGCTGGTGGCACAAGTACATGCAGGAGCATGCCCAGCGGATGGCCGTCGACGACGGTGATGACCAGAAGGAGGAAGAGCGGGAGGAGAAGCCGGAAGAGCAGAAACTGTCCCCTGCTGACCAGCGAGGCCAAGACATCAGCATGATGTCCGATGCCGAGCTGGACAGCATGGACCTCTCGGCCCCGCCGGATCCCCTGTGGACGACGAGCCGGCGGCCCTCGTACCACCGCGACTCGATGACGGACTCCTCCGCCATCGCCGGCGGAGCCATGGGACCGCCCGCTCCCCCGCACCTGCTCCGGGGATCGTACCGCGAAGACTCGTCCATGACGGACGCCGCCCCGCTCGTCGGCAGGGCCCCTGAGATGCCCTTCCCCTCGTCGGCGTTCAAGGCACCGGCCGCGCCGGCACAGGCGCCCTCCGCGGCGCCGCCCATCGGCTTCGGCAGGCCGTTTGCCGCCTTCGGCATGAAGCCCGACTCGGCACAGGCCCAGCGCCTGCGCAAGATGGCGTCGCCGCCCATGCTGGGCAGGGACCTGACGTTCAGACGGTGCCCCTCCCCCAAGGCCACCAAGCTGGAGCCGAGCCACCCGTTCGTCTTCGCCCATGACGACTCCCGGTACCGCGACGTGTCTGGCAACGGCGGCCTGTGGCACGGCTACTGCTACCGCACCCCGTCGGGCAGGGAGACGACCGTCAACCAGCCTGGCGGTGACGGTGACCACGCCATGCCCATGACCGAAGAGCCCTCCTCTGCGGACCAGGGCGTTGAGGAGCAGCGACGACAGCAGAAGCCCACCGCTACCGCAGACGCAGAAGAGGCAGAGGCGGAGCGCAACGCCAAGATAGCCAAGGAGTTCAACGACGAGTTCGTCACCCAGATCTACAACTACCTGTCCCTGGGCTATCCGGCCACGGCGGGCGTCTTCGACGAGGAGCTCTGCAAGGTGAGCCACATCAGCGTCGCGGAGCTCCGGTCCCGCGACGAGGAGCAGATGGCGATGGGCCACATGGTCGACATGCCGCTGCACGACGACAAGGGCCATTCCACCTGTCCCAGGTGGAGGGCTCTCAAGGTCTACGTCACCGAGTGGGCGAGGCAGCATCCCAACTTGGACGATCTGGATCCCCTGGCTTGGGGGGTGAGGAGGAAGAGTGGAGGGTGGGGTTTCTGATCTTGATCTTCTCCTCTGACCCTCCCTTCTCCCTCTTCCTTCCTGCTGGGAGCGAGAAGAGAAGGGAGAGGAAGCAAGCAGGACGGTGGATTGATACGAGACTTTTATATCGTCATTACTTGGGTGCAGCATGGAGTTTCTTTCTTATCTCGCCGTTTATTTGTTTCTTGTTTCGTCTCTTGTCCTTGTTTTTCTTTTGAGTGGTTGAAACTTGGGAGATTGATATATACGTATATAGGTAGCATCGTTTGTTTGTTTGCATTTGCTTGTGGGATAGCGATGGGTCTTTGATGTGCTTACAAGGTACACGGAAAATACGAACTTGATATTACTGTAGTCGATATCACTACGTTGGTAAACCTGACATGAGCCGTCACGAACATGGAACTGCTGTTTATGTGACTACGTCGGCAAATCCTGACATTAGTTGTCACGATTCCATGAGCTGTTGCGTCAAAACGTTGCATTTTCATCTCACCTACTACTTTTCTGTGTGTATTGACATCTAGACATATATAAAGAAAATTAAAATGCAATAACTAGAAAACGCCAAAAGACGATAGGAAAAGAATCAGGGGAAAAAAAAAAAAGCACAGAAACCGGCCTCCGATAGACGGCGTAGTCAGTCTCCTTGAACAGGACATGATAAGACTTGACTAAGAATAGACAGGTCAGAACCAAGGAGTAACACGACAAGATCAACAAGAAAGTTCTTTATATAATAGAAACTTTTTATATGAAAGAATGATTTTTTTTATACCTAGAAAAAAAAAGGAACAAGAACAGAACAATACATCTACCTCTTCTTGGCAAACGACTTGGCCACCTTCTGAACCTTGGCAGGCGGTGCAGCCTCGGCGTCACTGTCGTCGTCCTCGCCCATGGACTCGTCGACATCGTCGTGGTCGACCTCGTCCTCGCCGAGGGAGTCGTCAGCAGCCTCGGCGTCGCTGTTGTCAGCGTCATCCTCGGAGACATCCTCCTCGTCGTCGGTGGAGACGCCGTTGAGGATGGCGGCGGCGGCGGCGGCGGCGGAAGCAGCAGAGTGATCGTGACCGTCACCGTCGTCGTCGTCGTCGTCGTCGTCGTCGTCGTCGTCGAGGACGTAGTCGCCTCCTCCTCCAACCTTGGCGGCGCGGCCATCCTCTCCCTCGACGTAGATGACATGCTCATCGTCGTCGTCGTCGTCGTCGTCATCCCTGCTCACGCCACGACGGCTGGACACATGCCCGGCACTGCGCTGCATCCTCCTGCGCATTTCCATCTGGCCCTCGAGCAGGTCCAGCTTGCCCTTGAGGGCGAGCAGGCTGCCCAGACCTTTAGCCCTCTCGGAGAGGACCTTCTGCAGGCCCGAGAGGCTCTGGATCACCTTGGGCTGCGAGGCCAGGGCGCCGCCGTGCGCCACGAGCGTGTACTGCACCCACACCATCAGGCTGCCGGCGCGGCCGGGGCGGCGGTACAGGCGCGAGGCCAGCTTGGTCAGCAGGTTGCCGGCCAGGGTGCTGTCGATGGTCTCGATGGTGTTGCGTATCGTGGCGAGGTCCTTGGTGTGCAGGCACGACTCGAGTAGGTCCGTGTCGTCGGTGCGGAGCGCCTGCGAGAGCACAGTCGTCAGGGACTGATGGGACGGGGGCACGAGGGCGACTGTGCGGTTGGAGGCCACGGCCGCGGACGAGGAGGTCTTGCCGCCGTCGCCCGGCTGCTGCTGCTGCTGGGCCAGGAGGAGGGCGGACACGTCGATGGCCTCGTTGTTGCGGAGGAGCTCGCCGAACGTGGCCTCGCCGCCGTCCTCCTCGTCCTCATCTTCTTCTTCCCTCTCCACGCCGTTATTCTTGCCATTCTTCACCGCCGCTGCCGATGTCTTCTTGTCGCTCTTGCTATCGTCTATTTGTCGCTGCTGCTTCTTCTCGGTACCTTCCTCTCCATCTACCTCCTCATCGTCGTCGTCGTCGTCGTCGTCGTCGTCGTCGTCGGACATGTCCTCGTCGCTGGCGGCGTCGGAAGAGATATCAATCGTCTCGACCTCGGTGGTTCCCAGCACGTCAGTGTCTGCTACTGATGCTCGCGACTCGTCGATTGTGCCCTTGGAGGGCACCTGGGCGCTGGGCTTGACTGTCGGGGTGGCAAGCTTTCCGGGTGCCTTGCGTTTGGTCGACATTGTGTGACGTGTGTGTGTGTGTGTGTGTGTGCGTCGTGGAGGAAGACGAAGAGATTTATGACGGGAGTAGTCAAACTTCTAATACGATTGGAATCGCAGTGGTTGAGAAGAAGAGATGCCCAACAAGGAAGAACAGGGCGCTGCCTCCCCTTTGAGATTGAATTCAAATGAAGCGAGAGTAGAACGATCCTCTTTCCTTTCCGTTCTTCTCTTCTTCTTCTTCTTCTTCTTCTTCTCGGACTTTCTTTTTCTTATCTTTTCACCGTGGGACAGTAATTATCATAAGGTCCATTCGGCTGGTCATAGACGAACTTTTTTTTTTTTTTTTTTTTTTACACTGGAGTCCCACTGCCAGAAATCCACCCACCCACTATCCGCACTAGTCCTGGAGACCCCCCACTAGCAGATGATGACATAATACGCATCTACAGGCAGCTGTCACGTGACGAGCTTACGGACAATAAATGGTGAGAAGACGAAAAAAAACAGTTTGTCCCATCGCCGAAGACGGAAGGGGTACCGACTGCTCGTCTTGATTGGATCGGGCCAACGTGTCAACTCGAAACGGGCATCTGTTCGTACCTGTTATCTACCTTTTATCATTCAACGGATTATCATTGGAGATGAAAGAAATAGTAATATACTATCGATATGGAAAATATGGAAAATATGGGTTTTACATTGCACATGACCCAGAGTACAGAACAGCAATAATCTGCACTTGACAATATTACCTCCCAGGATGGTGGTGCCGCGTTGGAAATGAGAGACGACGGTTCTGTTGCCTTGGCGCGTCATGGCCGCGTCGTGGTCATTAGGCGTTGACCGGGGTGTAGAGATATAGAGCATGATACGGTGTCATGATGATTGAATGCTCTGTATCGCTTGTATCAGAGTTGCGACGGGAGGTTATGATATGGTGAGATGTACAGATTACGGAGTCTTGCTCTCTCCATCTTTCCTTCCTCCTCTTCTCCCTCCCCTTCTCTGTATGAGCTCAGTGGTTATTTGCATTACCGATGATGACATTACCGCTATGAGATACAGCAGATATTTATATTCGGTACATGTAATACTTCTGCTCTCAGCACTCAGCACCCAAACTAGAGAAATCGCGTCAACCCAGCTATCGGATACGTGCACGACAAGAAACCCCTTTAATCCACTAGCGCCCCGATTATCCCAAGCCCGAAAAGTTTTTCCCAGCCATGTCGCACACCGTTAGCTGCATGACTGCGACTCGTCCGATTCTGCCCTGCTCCCTCATAAATACCACGGCACCTCGCACGGCCTAAAATGATTCAACCGAGTTTTTGACGTTGCCCGCCCCTTTTTCCTCCGCTCCTCGCTCTCACCGCATACAAGGTACAAGGCTACAGCAAGGTAAAAAGGTACATAGCCCTGCGCCCTGCAGACCCGCTATTGGGCAAGTACCACCTTCCCTACAGTATCATTTCTCTGCATCTCCCTGTCCGACCCTCCTCCACTCTGTCCTCTCTCTTTTTTTACCCCCCTCCTCACATTCTTCCCTCTTTTTTATTTTTAATCCTCTTTTTATTTTTCTCCCTTCCAAATTCGGAACTCACCATTTTCCGAGCCGCGTTTTCCCAACCGCGCCACGCACCAACCAAACCCTCTCCCCTTCGTGTGTCAGATCAACCAACCACAACACTCCAAGCCACACGGCCTTTTCGCGCGACTCCTAATCCTCACTTTCCTCTCTCTTGACTCCAAAAAAGGAAGGGAAAAGGAAGAGGTTCTCAGACAAATCATCAACACTACCTCACCAGCCACTTTTTCTTTTCTTTTTTGGGTGCCTGATCACTTTTCCTTTTCCTCTCATTTGCTCAAATAACAGTCTCCCACCTTCGCCCCCCCCCGCCTTCTTCTCTCTTCCTCTACCGCAACGCGCGCGTGCATCTCGTCGCACGTTCGCTTGACCCGCTTTGCGACGCGACTCCAGCGCATTCGTCACAACCCGCGTCTTCCGCCCTCCCCACCATCCACACACGCCTCCATCGCATCGCATCGCATCACCTCGACGTCGCATTTGATGTCGCGGCGCGATACATAGTTTTCTGTACTGCATCTGCTGCGCTCCCCTTGCGACTGGGAATTATGGCTTCTCCTGTGCCGGAGGCCGCGGCCCCGGCTGTCGACCCAAAGCCTCTCGAGGGGACACCCTCAACGGACCTCAGGTCCCAGCTCAACGGGTAAGCCCCTCCTCCACGCTTTCTTTTGCGCTCCATCTAGTCATCGTGCGAGCGTTCTGCGCCCCTGCACCCCCTTGTCTGTCATGGCCGTTGATATGCTAATACGATCTTCTCAACCTGAAGCCATACGCCTGAGCCTACGTCCGAAGCACCAAAGACGGGTGCTGTCAACGGAGCGGGCGATATGGAGGAGAGGAACACCCCTACCAATGGCGTAGACAAGGAGTCTACGCCTGCGGTCGATACCAAAAAGACCGAATCGGCTGAGAAGCCCACCCCCAGCGCATCCGAGAAGGAGAAGTCTGCCGAGGCGCAACCGCCTACGGAGACGTCCAAGACCGAGGAACCAAAGGATGTCGAGATGGGTGACACGGATGCGAGCGAGAAGTTCAAGCCCGTTAAGACCGAGTCCGAGTCCGAGCCCGCGCCATCTAAGCCTGACGAGTCGAAGCCCGACGACGCAGCCTCTGCTGCCCCGTCGGCAGCCGATACAAAGGAGATCACCAAGGAGGAAACCAAGGGAGAGGCCGAGGAAGACAGCGAGGAGACGTCTGCTGCGCCCGCCGAGAAGACGACCGAAACCCCGGCCAGATCCGACGAGAAGCCTGTGACGGACGTCGATGTCCAGCCAGCCAGCCTCTCCCAGCTCGCTATAGAGTCGACAGAGAAGGGCTCTTCCCCCATCGACGTGTCCATGACGGACGCGCCCAGCTCCAAGCTGTCGCGCGAGAGGGAGGAAGACGCCACCGAGGAGCCTGCGTCGAAACGAGCGAGGACGGAGCCCAACGAGGACGAGCAGATCGCAGACAGCATCACCGCTGCCGTGCCAACTCCTCCTACCCCCCCGACTGCCTCGGACAAGCTCGTCTCGCCTGCCGACATCAACTTCGACCACTTCCCCAAGTGGAACGACGCCACGTTCAATGCCAAGGTCATCCAGCCCTTTCAGCTGCGCGATCTGCGCAAATCCATGGCTCGCGTCAAGAAGACCAAGAATGGGTACCACTTCCGCGACTCAGTCCAGAAGCTCTGGCCCGCCTTGTGGGATAAGTACTCAGCAAGCGTGGAGAAGCCGATGGACCTGGGCGAAATTGACCGGAACCTGCGCGACAAGAACTACCAGACCTTTGGCCACGTCAGGAGGGACCTGGTGCTCATGGCTGAGAATTCCAAGAGCTTCAACGGCGTCGATCACCCCATGACGCTGGCCGCCAAGGCCGCCATCAAGTCTGTGTGGGACGACGTAATGGGTATCCCTGACGAAGAGCCCGTCAAGGCGAAGCCCCCTCCCAAGCAGAACCGCGTGCGCGAGCCCAGGGCCGCCCCCGCGAAGCCCGAGATCACTGGTCGGGCGGAGGTAGCCCCCGGCGGCACCGACGGACCTGCGGCGCCCAAGCCTGCCTCGTCCGCACCTCGCAAGTCGTCCGTGGCCGACGCAGACCGGCCTAAGCGCACCGTTCGCGCCCCCAAGCCCAAGGACATCGACTACTCGAAGCCGTCGCGTAAGAAGCTCAAGCCCGAACTACAATTCTGCGACGAGGTGCTGTCGGAACTCATGAGGGACAAGTACAACCACCTCAACAAGTGGTTCAACGACCCTGTGGACGCCGAAGGCCTGGGCATCCCGCACTACTACTCCATCATCACACACCCCATGGACTTCGGCAAGGTGCACAAGATGCTGCACAGCGGGGATATCGGCAGCCTCAAGGAGTTTGACAAGAACATCCAGCTCGTCTTCTCCAACTGTTACAAGTTCAACGGCCCTCCGGACCCGGCGACGGTGTCCGGGCTGGCCAAGCAGCTCGAGGACATCTACAACGCACAGATGAAGAACAAGGAATCCTGGCTCTCCAAGCACGCCAAGGCCAACCCTCCCCCTTCGACGTCGGTCGGTAGCGACGATGACGACGATCAAGACGAGGACGAGGACGAGGATGCTGGCAGCGCCACAGTGGGGCCCGACCCGTCGCGCGAGGTCAAGGACCTGGAGGCCAGGCTGCGCGAAGAGATGGACAAGCAGGCCAACCTCTTTGCGGCAGAGGAGCCCAACCAGAGCATGATCCAGATCCAGCAGGGAATCGTCAACATGGTGCAGCAGGCGCTCCTGCAGGCCAAGCAGAAGCTCAACGAGTACAAGCAGAAGAACGGTGGCCTCGTCGGCGCCGGCAACAAGTCGAAGAAGTCTAAGTCTGGCAACTCTGGCGGCAGCAAATCCAAGTCTTCTGGTGGCGGGGGTGGCTCGGGAGCCTCACGCAAACCAGGAGGAGCAGCTGCTGGATCATCGACCAAGAAGGCCACCGGCGGCGGCGGCCAGAAGAAGAAGAAGAACCTGTCTGCCACAGACAAGGATAACATCGCCAACGCCATCAATGATCTGGAGTACCCTCATCTGGACAAGGCGATCGACATCATCAAGCGTGATACTGGACAGATGGTAAGCACTCTCGACCTCGACAAGGATGAAGAAGCATGAGGAGAAGAAGAAGAGTAAGAGGAGACTGACGTGTCAATAGGAGAGCGAGGATGGAGAGCTTGAGCTCGATATCGACCAGCTGAGCCACGAGGCCCTTCTTAAGCTGTGGGACCTGTGCAAAAAGGTCCTCCCCGGCTTCGGCAAGGACCCGGCAGCAGCGGCGGCGGCGGCGAACTCACCCGAGGCGACGCGGGGAGGTGGGCCCTCATCGAAGCAGCCCAAGACGGCGGCCAGGCCTAAGAAGAACAAGCCCATGAGCGCGCAGGAGCAAGAGGCGAGGATTGCACAGCTACGTGAGATTCGCGAGCTGTACAAGCCTGGTCAGGAGCCTACGGACGAAGGACATCACAGTCACGGTCGCCACGCACCGCAGGAGACGTCTGCCGCCATGGATGATTCAAGCGATGATTCATCAGAGGAGGAGTGAGATGACATACTCTCGGCCTCTTTTTTTTGTTCCTCTTCCCCGGCCTGCCTACCCCGGCAGAAAGAGACGGAAGAGAGAAAAAGAACGGTGTGTGTATGAGTACTACGTTGGAGTTTTCAGGAGGTTCCTTTTTTTTTCCCCTCTTCTTTTTTCGTCCCTTACATCTTTTCCTTCCATCACTTTTTTTTCTTATAATGTTTGTAGCCCTCTTTTCTTTTTTTCTTGCTCTTGGGCTTTCACGTCTTTGACAAGTATGGATACGGAAAAGGGAGGGTCAGCTGTGGATGATCAAAGCGTTTTCTATATGCTGGTGTTTGGTTTGTTCAAGATTCCTTTTTTTTCCCCCTCCTTTTCTACTCCTTGGTTCGTTTTTGCATGATGTTCTTTCTCTTGACTCCGCTCTTGGGTCTTTTTTTTTTAATCTAATTCCGTTCTGTTGCGCACACAAGAAAAGGAAAAAATTGTTCCCAACTTTTTCTTTTCTGTGTTATTATGCTCCGCCTTTTCCTCTGAGGAAGAAGAGAGGGATAAGGGGAGGAGAAGGAGAGGGAGAAGAGTATCTGGTCTGGCTTGCAGTGGGCGCCTGTTTACTAGATTCGAGATTCAAAGTAGATAGTATCTAAAATCTTTCTGCCATGTTTGACATGTGTACGCGGGGGAGAGAGAAGTATGTGGAGGCGCAAAGTGAAGTGTTGTCCTTTTTTTTTTTTAAAAAAAAAAAAAGAGTTTGCAGTATGGAGCGTGCATATGAAAGAGTCTGGTGTGAATGTTGAATGTTGAAGGAGTGAGATTTGATGTGGATGAAGATGATGACTACAATCCCAGAGGTCCAACAGCCATGGGCAGATTCCTCCTCAACCTCGAGCATATGGCCAGATAGGCCTCCTCGCCCTCCGTCTCGGGCGTGACGTGACCGTGCCGGATCATGAAGTCGATCATGACGGCGCAGACGTTCGGCTTGAACTCGCCGGCCTCCATGCGGGTGCGGATCTCGTCCAGGCCCATGAGCTCCAGGGCCTCGACCTCGCCGTCGTAGCCGAGCTCGGGCCTGACGGCGGGACTCTTGCTCCCGCTCTCGTCGCCTCCGGCCTGGCCTCCGGCCCGGCCGTCTTCGCGGGACCCGGTCAAGACGTCCATGTCCATGTCGTAGACGTAGAGGATCTCGGCGTGGAAGAGGCCGGACCCGGCATTCCTGTTGGCCAGGGTGACGACGCCGGCGGGCCTGGCGGCCTCGCGGACGGCCTCGGGCCGCAGGGAGACCTCCTCCAACGACTCCGCCAGGATGCAGTCCCACGGCGAGTCGGCGGCCTTGACGCCCCCGGCCACCGTGCTGTCCAGCTTGCCCGGGTGGGCGAACAGGCTGCGGCTCCGACGGGCCACCCAGACCTTGAGCTCCGCCCGGTCCCCATCCCCGCGCCTGGTATAGCAGGTCATGTGCGCGCCCCTGGTGGCTATGCCGAACAGCGACCCGGCGAAGCGCTCGACCTGGGCCGGCGGGCTCTCATCACCACCGCCGCCGCCGTCGGGCCGGACGCGAGCCCCGGGGAGGCGGAAGGGTTCGCTGTGCATCCCGTTCAGTATGGGAAACGTGTCGTTGGCGATGGCGTCGTCCACCACGTGCTGCAGGGTGGAGTTGATGTGCTCCGCTGCCGAGACGCCGGGAGGTGGCTCGGCCAGCGTGACGGTGCGGTCCGTCTCGGACACCGTCACCCCGCCGCCGTCGGACGGCCATGCCATCCGCGACAAGGTGGTCGGGTGGATGTAGCCGTGTGGGCGGGGGTCGGAGGGCGACAGGAATAGACGGTAGTATGGGTAGTGGTTGGTGGCAAAGTCAAGCGGGACGCTGCGATGGTGTAAGTCTGTGGGGAGGGGTCCTTCATTCTTGGGGGGTTCTGTTGTTGTTGTTGACATTGTGTCTTTATTGTCAAGTAAACTTTGACTTACTTGTCCACCAGGGTGATGAGATCGAGGAGCTTGGACATGATGGGGGTGGTGTGAGATTGAGTTGTTCAATCTGACAAGTCGTCTTCATGTGGTAAGCAAGACAGAATGAAGAATCGTCGTGTTGGTGAGAGATGAGATCAAGGGTCTGAGGAAAAAGGAGGGGGGGGAGGGGGCCCCTTGCCCCGTTTATTTATTCTCCCCATGTAAGACGTTTGGTGTCGACCACAGATCGATCCAACCATTTGAGAAACGTCATCCGAGATATTGATTTGCATTCTTCTTCTTTCTTTCTTTCTTTTTTTTTTGAGAAAAGAAAAGAGGATCAGATTTCATTGCTCGTTTCGTCATCTCATCGTCTTATTTCCCTTTTTCCGTTTTCTTTCTTTTTATATTCTACAAATGTTATATACATGCCTGGGCATCGTCGTCCAGATATACTTGACTCGTATCCTACCTAGACACACACACCTTACGCACCTACCTCATCACCCATGGCCTCGAGTGTATTCTCCAGCACGGCACGGCACCTGGCCCTGTAATCCAGAGCCAGCCTCTGATTTGCCGTCAGGGCCTCCTCGTCACCGGCGGCGACCTCGACCTCGGTCTCGTCCAGCCTCTCGAGCTCCTGCATGACCTTGTGCTGTATGATAGCCACGGTGTGCTCCATGTGCGCATACTCCTGGGAGTCCGGGTCGAGGCGGCCCGAGAAGAGGCATTCGCGGAGGTGGCGCTCGTCGGCGGGGGGGTCGCTGGTCGTGGTGGAGCGGAGGGTGCAGAAGATGTCCCACACCATGTCGGGCTGGACGTGGCGGAAAGCGCCGACGACCTCTCTCTCCCCGGACCCGGTCCCGGACCCGGTCCCGGACCGGTCCAGACCGGGGATGTCGAGCTGGCTCCTGTGGTGGCCGAGCACGGAGCTGCGGTGGGCCATGGGTCGGCGCGAGATGTAGTACTCCTCCGAGGCGGCGGGCTCGGTCGTCCGCTTGCGCACGTGTATGTAGTCGTTGTGCAGGTCGTCGGTGAGGGGGAGCATGAAGCCGTAGCCGAGGAGGAGCTCGGCGTTGGTCTTGATGCTGTAGTTGTTGAAGACCTGGTGCCCAGGTTCGAAGTCGCGGCCCACGCGCAGCTCGCAATTTACCCTCCTAGGGGGGGGGGATGAGGAGGAGGAGGAGGAGGAGGAGGGAGGAGGTCGAGCCTGGCTCCCCTCTCTCTGCTGCTGCGGTCTGAGCTCCCACCTGACCTCGGCCGTCATGTCGTGGTTGCCAATGTCGAACAGGGGGAGCAGGACGGAGAAGTCGTCCATCGACACGCCGTCGGGCAGACGTCCCCCCCCGGCGAGGACCAGGCTAGGCCTGAAGCTGCGGCTGGAGAAGATGCAGTACGCCCAGCGGTACAGGTCGACGGTTATGGCCCGGTCCATCTCGTCCCCGTACGTGCCGAGCAGGTGGGTCGCGTCGGAGTACTCGGCCGCCACGTCGGCGCGGATCTTGTCCAGCCCGATCTCGACGTTGGTGCCCTCGAGGAGCTCGGCGTCGTCGGCTGGCCAGAAGGTCGGGAGGTTCCAGAGCTCCACGTCCCCCGGTTGCGGGAGGCTCTGGATGTACGGCCACCAGAATGACGAGCGCCCGGCGAGGTACTGCTTGGCCAGGAAGAGGCGTCCCACCACGTGCGGCTTCGCGCGCGACACGATCTCCCGGCTGAGCGGCACTGGCCGTCGCGGAACCCCCTCTTCATCACCGTCGGTCTCTTTGGGCGATGACGGCGACGGCGCCTCGACGGCCGCCTCGACGGCATCCAGGTACGACAGCGATAGCTCCGTCGGCAGGCTGACGATGGTCTCCCATGCCGGTAGCGTCGACCGACGGGACGGCTTGACGCCAAAGGACAGGCCCGTGACCGGGTCAAGGTATATCCCCACGTCCGGGTGGAGGTGTCCCCCGTGTTGTCTTACCCAGTTGATGAGTGTGGCGAGCTGGTCTATCATGGTGTTTTGGGGGAATGGAGAGGGAGAGAGGGGGTGAGAGAGACGGTGTGTGCGTGCGTGCGTGTGCGTGCGTGCGTGCCAACTTGTCAGATGTTGAAAGTTGTGGTGGGAGAGGATGAATGGAGGAGGAAGGGTGAGAAGAAATGAGGGGTGGGTGCTCTGTCCTGCCTGGCTTCAAATCTCTTCGCACCCCCACCATCTTCAACACATTCCCCCCTCCCCCCTCTCCCCCTCTCCCGACCGTGGCAGCGCAGGAGTTATGATGGTTCGGTTGTGTACCGATGTACGAGGAGCCTGTGGAGAGAAGAAGAGAAGAGAAAAATAACCACACAATCAATGGAAATATCTGAGCCGCGTCGAGCGCCCAGGGATGCCGTCATGGGCCACTACATCCCTGTCGATTTTGTTTCTGGGGTCAGCCAACAATAGCAGATACCCTCGTTCTCCGTCTTACCTGTTACCAGTATCCCGTATGACCACTCTCTGGTCGCTCATGTTGTTATGCATATTCTCGCTGGCTTCTTGTCTGCTACGAGTACAGCTCAGGGCAAGCAGCTTCGTCTTCCCCGCCGCTGCATGTAATACCTGTCCAGACCGTATCATTATCATTGATCGGTCCCGGCTGGCCATGCAGATGATCTTACTAGTTAGATGAGCATCATGAGATATATATATATGTATGTATGTATGTATGTATGTATTACCCATATCTAGCTCCCTACATTCGATGCCCTCACTTACACCCTTCCCTGGTCCCTGTATTATATATGTATCAGTAGTCTGCAACAGTTGCTCATCGAAGCCGTATACTTGGTTTTCCTTTCCTTCTTTTTCTTCTGAAAGACAATCGCGTACACTTCTCCCCGCCAAATATGCATATCCAATACTTCCAACCAGGGTAGACAATGCCATCCTCCCCTCGCCCGATACCATATGGGACTCTTGAGAAGTTTTATGAAGATGGACAGGCATGCAGAATAGACAGGTATGCAGAATAGACAGACATGCAGAATAGACAGTCAGACAATCAGACAACACCCCATGGCTAGTGAAATTCAGCCTCAACCCTCCCATACCGCACCCCGTCAACCTTGAGCTCGAATCCCAGCCCGGCACTGTCGACAATCATCTCGAGCGTAAAGTCCAGGTTGTCAAACTCGACCCCTCGCGTCGTCGTCAAGCGGGTGAACAGGCTCCGGGGCACGGCGTTCAGGTCCGTCGTCAGCGTGCAGACGTGCATCAGGTCCCGCGTGTACGCCGCCGGGGGTTCGTCCGCTTCGCAGGCGATCAGGTCGTCCGTCACGACGAGGGACTGACCCGGTCGGAAGTTGCGGGTATAGTGGAAGGCGATCGGTGACGAGGGTGATAGGGATTCGCCCTGGATCCGTCAGCTTCTCTTCTCTTCTCTCTTCTTCTCCTCTCTCCTGCTCCTCTCCTCTTCCATCGCCCCTTCTTTCAAGATTCAGGATTCGAAATTCGAGAAGAGAGAAATCAAGGGGGTGAGGAGAAGGGAGAACCCCCGGGGGGGGGGGGGGGGGGGGGGGGGGGGGGGGGGGGGGGGGGCGGCGGCACCTGTCCATACCTTGGCAATGTGCCACTGCATCCGATCAGACACCATCCACCTCTCCCACAGTGGTGACCAGTACCGCTCACTGACGGAGTGCTTGCCCTCGTCGTACACGGTGGCGTACGAGGTGCCGTAGTGCATGCGCGACTTGCGCGAGATGACCATGTTGCCCTCCAACCCGCGCAGCACGGCGCCGCGCACCACCGCCGTCCAGGCGTACACCGGCTGCATCACCTCGATCGACCCGCCCTCCTGGTGCGCGCCCGCGCCCGAGTGGGTCGGCCTCTCGCTGTAGGGCGGGGGCGCCGCGCTGGTGGTGAAGTGCGCCTTCAGCCGGCGGTACAGGTAGTCGCTCTGGCCGAAGCCGCCGACGAGCACGATGCCCGACACCACGCCGCCCTTGGCCCGGAGGCCGTCGACCTGGCCCTGCACCAGGTCCGTCACCTCCTTCACCACGGGTTCGAACATGTCCTTGATCTCGCCGGCCGTCATGACCAGGAATCCAGAGTCTAACCCTGCTTCTTCGTCGTCGGGCAGACCGGGGAAGCTGGTTATCGTCAGAGTCGCTTCTCTTCTCCTTCTTCTTCTTCTCTTTTCTGTTGCAAGAGGGGGGGTTGTAAAGAAAAAAAGAAAAGAAAAAAACAAGGACTCACGGTATGTTGACCTCTTGATGCTCGTCCTCGTTAAAGTTCCGCTTGACAAACTCCTCAAAGTACCGCAGTCCCATCTGCCACGTCTTCCCCTTCTTCAGCTTCATCTCGTCGAATCTCGTCTTCCCGATACGATTCCGCACATGCTCTTCGAATCTGTAGTTGAGAAAAGCACTTCCGCAGAGTCCCCCCGTACCCACGGCCGACTCCTCCACCCTCAGAGGTTTGAGGGACATGATCTTGTAGGCGATCAGGCTACACAGAAGTCAGGTGCACCCGAGAAATCAGCAATCTTGTCACCACCACCACCACTATCCTGTGCGAAAATATTTTCTTCTTCTTCTTCTCCATCACACTCTCCAGGAGAAATGATGTGAAAGAAAAAAGAAGACAAATCAAAAAAAGAAGAAGAGGAGGAAAACTCACTCGACCGTACCACCCCCGGCATCGCAGACGACAAAGTTATCCCCTACGCTGAGATGGTTCGGCTGTATAGCCTTGAGCGTGTAGACGGCGGCGGCCTCCGGCTCGCTGATCATCTGAATCTCGGAGCGGCTCCCCATGCCCGCCCTCTCGGCCGCCCTGAGCGTCGTGTTCTTGGCCGCGTCGCTCCACACGGCCGGGCAGGTGAGGACGTACTCGACGCGCGTCGAGGCCATGAACGACTCGCCGTATCGGCGCGTCAGCGTGTCCGTCGTGTGCCGGTACACCTGCGTCAGGTAGTCGCTCACGGCGTCGACGACGTTCTTGTTGAAGCGCTTCAGCTGCGCCGCCGTCTCCAGCGGGCTCACGTAGAAGGGCAGCTTCTGCGACCGATCCAGGAAGAGCTTGATGCACCGGAGACGGGACTCTTCCGGCCTGAACTGGAAGCCCCATTTCACCGCCGGAGGGGTGGCGTCTGCGCTGCTGCTGCTGTTGTCCTCTGCGTCTTCCTGGGTATTGCCGTTGCCGTTGCTGCTGGTGCTGCTGGTGGCGGCAGAGGTGGTCGTGGTGGTGGCGGTGCTCCCAGGAAAGTGATACGCTATCTCGGTCGGTACCTTGTCTGATGTGATGCCGTTTCCGCCGGGCCATGTCTTGATGATCTCGACATCGTCTGGTGTGGATGTGTATACGGCGGCGACTCTGAAGTGTTTCTGTAAGCTTTCCGCTCGTTTCCCACGTCTGTCTCTTTTTCTGTTCCATCTTCTCTTCCAGTCCTCTTTTGTTTTTCTCGCCTGCTTCTGGCTTCTGGCTCCTGCTTCTGACCTCTGGCCTCTTCCGAAAAAGAAAAAAGACGTACTCACCCGGAATATGTCGTCCCAAAATCTACCCCGACAATCAACCTATCACTCATGGCGGCATTCTCCCTGGCCGGCTCCCTGACCGGCCCATCGATGGCCTCCGTCGAGCTGAGAGGGGGAGAGTACGTGCTCCCTCGACCCGCGGCGGCGGCCGTATTACCTGACGGGCTGATCTCAGAAGTGATGGCCGTACCTGACGGGTTACTTCCGGCAGCAGCACTGGCGGTAGTGGTGGTGGTGGTGGTGGTGGTGGTGCTGTAGTAATTCCGACTTGCCTGATTTCGACGGCTGGTTGTTGACGATGTGTCTGGTGTTGTGCGGAGGGGTAGATTGAACGTCATGGCTGTCCTCGATGTGTGCGTAGTATCTACTCTTTCTCTTTCTTTCTCTTTCTTTCCCTTTCTCTCACTTTCTCTCTCTCTCTCTCTCTCTCTTTTCTCTAGTCCCTGGTCCTTATCATGACGTTATTTTCTCTCTATATCCTGATTAGATCCTTGATGAGAATCCCCCTATCCGTACCCCTGCCTGTGTCTCCCTTTCCCTTTATTTCTTCCCCGCTCCTCGAGTCCTTGTTTTGGTTTGTTTTTGTTTTTGGTCTCGCGTAATTGATGAGTTCTGCGTGAAGAGTGCTGCGTGATGAGTGAGCAAGTGTTGTTTGGTGAGTGAGTGGTGCGTAGAATGCGATGCAGACCGGGAATTGCGGGGTCGACGAATAATTTTCTTTTTTTTAAAAAAAAAAAAAAAAAAAAAAAAAACACTCAGGATATACTATATATACATATATATGCCCAAGGGACCACGTCCCCGACCGAGTGTACACGTACTCTCGAGCCGAGAGATGAATACCGACGACGGAAGAAGGACACGAGTGGGAGGGGGGAAAGCAGATCAATCTTCACAGAACATGCATCTGGTCTGATGCAAGTCGCACAGAAGATGGTAGGCAGGAAAAGACATCAGAGTTACGAAAGGACAGTTTACTCCACTGTCAGCAGCAGAGACCTGCAAAACGTCAGAGAGGATCGGCGTAAGCTCAGGTTCGGGGGGCCACGGAGCCTTGCAATACTGGTCCTGTCAAGGTTCAGCTCCGAATAGCTCTACCAGTAGGTGTCGTATGAATACTCCATACTCTTCTTTTGGTGATCTGCATCTTCAATTCAGGGAAATGGAAAGTATCGTGTAAGATGTCATCATATTAAATATATTTTGATCTGGCCAACTTGCCACCTGGTATAAGAATAAGAATAAAACCCCTTTCTTCCCCGTGTATATATAAAAAAATTCGCTGTAAGAAGATAAAATAGAGGACGCCAAAAAAAATCGGACAGAGAGGCCCTGGAAATTGTAATATGTTGACATTGGTAATCTGTCAAGAAGAAGGATGGGGGAGATGCCAGAGAGAAAGGAAAGGGTTAGAACTAAAGAGTGACAGGTGGTTGGACCACATAATGTGTTTTGTCTAAAAGACGGGTGTTGTCTAGCAAGTGGATATTTTTTTTAAAAGAAAGAGAAGAACGCAATAAATAAACACATGACTGAAAAGGAAAAGGAAAAGACCAAGGAGATGAGAGAGAGTAGTAGGTAGGGATGTGGCCCTCGCTGTGAAAAAGAGAAATATATCCGATGATTCGCGCTCGCCAGTTTTTTTTTTTCAAAATCTTGTGTGTCTCAGTCTATATAGAGCAGTTGGGAGGGGGAGGGGGGAGAAACACCGAGGGTCTTGTCAAGACAAAGAAAACAGACAAGATCCAGGGGAGGAGAGAAGTGACGAGCATGCTGATAAACAAAGACAAGTCATGTAGAACAGGGCTGGGAGAGGCCGGGGTATTATTTGCGAATCTGTGGCTGTCGAGGTGCGACGAGATTGCAGAGGTCGGAAGAGAAAGAAGAAGAAGAGAAGAAGAAAAGGTGTCGAAGCGAGGATAGAGGATGAGGAGAGAAGAAGAGAGGGAGGAGAGACCTGACAAGGAGCTGACTTGTCCGTCTCCTGGTGAGAGCTGAAATGACGGGCGCAATAATGTACGAGAGTTATATATACAGGACCACAGCCAGACCACAACGCCAAACGCCGTCGTCATCATGCAGGACGAGGAGAGTCCACGGGGTGGTGGTGATTATCGTGAGTATGACGACTCGGCGGCTCGACTAGAACCGGCTGCCGGCGGCCCAGATGCTGGCCGATGCCGACGCCGCCCACTCGCTCTCCTCGTAGGGGGGCGTAGGCCACTTGCTGTGTGCGTGGTTGGGCTTGCGCAGATCCAGAGGCTTGGGCTGCAGGGGTTCGCCACCGTCGGCAAACAGGAGCTGCGTCCCGCTAGCCGACGGCGACGGCGTCGGGTACGGGTTAGCCAGGCCGAGGTTGCTGGCCGACTGGCGAAGGGGCTTCTGGCTGTCCATGCGCTTCGTCGCCGTCTGCGTCGACGTCGGGACCTCGTCGAGCAGCTCGTCCTCCTCGGCAGGCGCCTCGTACTGCTGCACCCCGTGCGCCGCCTGGGCACGCCTCGTCCGGCTCGAGATGGGCCCGGCGCGGGCAGCTCCGGCCAGGTTGTCCACCGACCGGGGCTGCTGGTGAGGGACCGAGTGGTGGCGCTTGAGACCGCCGGTCACGCTCGCATGATATCCGAGCGCCGCTGCCGACTGGGGGTCGAGGTTGCTGTGCACGTTGCGCAGCGTCTTGTCCAACGACTCGTACACATCTTGCGAGCTGTGCTGCTGCTGCTGCTGCTGCTGGTCCGCGATCATCGACGACCGTTGGTTTCCACCTACCCAGGGACCGCAGCCGGCACCGCCAGCCTCGAGGTCATCGTATTGCGGGGATGAGGGCGTCTGGTGGCGTCCCGACAGACGGCGAGCACGCTTGCGGAGGTGGGAGAAGAAGCCTTCCTTCTGGCCACCCGGCGGAGAAGCCAGTCCGGTGTTCCCGTTCAGGGCACGCTCAGCCTGCTGACGGTGGAGGTCGGTGTAGTTGTTGGAGTTCGAGTTGACCGACAGCTGGCGGCCAATCTTCTTGTGCTTATCCTGAGCGTTGGCCCGCGCAGTCACGGCATCCGACAGGGGGGAGATGGGTCGGATAGAGGGGAGTATGGGCATCGGAGCCATGTTGGTGGAGCCATTGGCCCATGTGCTGCGCTTGCCGGCCCCGGCCTTCGACGCGCCAGCCGAGACCTCGGTGGTCGTGGACGGGATGGGGGCGGGCCTGGCGACGGCGTCCTTGGATGGGCTGCCGTGAGCGGCGACGGGCTCGGGAGCCTCGCTGCGGCCGATGAGGGACTTGCGGAACCACGAAGGCTTGCTCGACGACACAGAGGGGGTAGGGGTCGAGCTACGGCCGATCTCCGACTGCTTGCGGCCAAGAGTCTTGGAAGCGGTGCGGGGACGCAGAGGGTCGACGGCATCGACGAAGTACTCGTGAGCAAGAGCCTGCGACGACGTGGGCCGGCTCTTCGGGTCCCACATGAGGCACCAGGTGACAAACTGCGACAGACCGGACGGCCACTGGGGCGACTGCAGGATGGTGTCCATGGAGTGAGGGGCCATTTTGGGGAAGGAGAAGCCCAGCTTGCCAGCCAGGCGAGTACCCTCACGCCAATCACCTCCGCCGACGCGCGAGCCAGCCTTGTTGTACCAGTTTCCGGGACTGCCCATGATCTCGCAGATCCTCCAGACCTGGTCGACCTCATTGCCGCCGGGGAACAGGGGCTTCAGGGTGGCGACCTCGACGGCCATGGCACCGATAGCCCAGATATCGACGGGAGCAGAGTACTCGCCGGCGCGGAGCAGAACTTCGGGGGCGCGGTACCACCTCGTCGAGACGTAGGTTGTGTAGGGAAGCTTGGAGTGCGTCTCTCGTGCCAGACCAAAGTCGGCAATCTTGACGGTGTAGGTGGGCGGGGTGGAGGGGGGCGTGACGAGGGCGGAGTATCGGCGGAAGGCGGTCGAGGGTTCGTTCTGTGATGACGTCGACACGAGGATGTTCTCGGGCTTGATGTCGCGGTGGAAGAATTGGTTCGAGTGGATGTGCTCCAGACCGCGCATGATCTGGAAGAGGATGCTCTTGACGCTCGAGTTGTCGAGGTACTTGTGGTCACGAGCCTTCATCAGCTGGTACAGGTTGCCCTCCATGTACTCCATGCAGATGTGCAGCTTCTTTGTGTAAGGATCGAGGAAGATGTCGAGGGCGGGAACGAGATGGGGGTCGGCGGGGAGATTGCGCATGAAGACGACTTCTCGGAGCTCGAGACATGCTTGAAACGAGTCGAAGGTCTTCTTCATGGATTTGATGGCAACCTGAGAGGAAGGTTAGGAAAAGGTCTGGGAGAAGAGTAGAGAGAGGTCTGGAAGGTGGACCGGTCTGGCGGGTAGACGACACGGCCAATTAAGCTCGGGGAGATACTTACAACGGTGCCTCGGCGGGCAACGCTCGCGCCAGCTGTGCGAACACGGGCAAGTACGACATTTCCAAAGCTGCCATCGCCAATCTCCTTGAGCACCTCGAAGCGGTCCTCGAGGGCGAGGTTGGTGTTGGATGGCCCGCGAAGGGAGACGTCTCCGGTGACTGTCATGGTGACGTGTGTGTGTGTGTGTGTGTTAATTGTCCGGCAGGGCGACTCGGGTGGTGTCTTCTGTCGCGGCCCAGGCCGGTGCTGCGGGCAAGGAAGCTGACCGAGAGGTGGGTGCCAGCCAAATGTTGCCGTCGCGGTGAACGGTGGCCGTATCGGAGAGTGCGGTGAGAAGTGAGAGTGGGAAGCTCTATTGAAGAGCTGGGCGTCGTTTTATCGGTGCATACGGGAAGTGGCGGCGAATAGAGAAGTCAGATGATCTCACAGGAGGGTCAAAGGCAGGCAATAGGGAAAATCAGTAGAGACCGGGTAATGCGTAGCGAACGTCTGTAAGTTGAGAAGCAATGGCGGCAATAAGGACTTGTCAAAGAATGAAAGGACTAGGTAGCGAGGTTTTGTTGTAGATGATGGGTAGGATTGAGGTGAGAAAGTGTGGGAAAAGTGAAGGTTCAGACTAAAGACGCAGAAGCTGGAAAAGGGGACCGGCAGGTACTAGAGTCTTGACAGCGACGGAAAGGCCCCGGGGGGAGGGGGGGGAGGAAGGAGAAGGAGTCAAGGACCAGGGGGGGGGGGCGTGTGGAGGAGAGTCGGTGGTGCGCGGTCCTGGCGTGGGGTGGCCCATCGGTCAGAGTACGACTAACAGTTACGGCTTGGGCCTAGCAGTGCTACATTGCTAGTAATAGCAGCAGTAGTGGGTGTGTACTTACCACTACTTGCTACTCGTGCTAACTGCGGGCTAGCTGTAATACTACTACTCTAGCACCTACAGTTATTGTGGGTGTGTATTGTATTAATCTGCACATTTATTTGCCATTATTTGCCATGAATATTTACCAATCCATATTGGCCCCCTCGGTACTCTGTACATGTACACACGCTCACACGCTGTACATATACAGCATCACAGCCCATAATACCAGGGTACCCGAAGCGATGGCGGGCGGTCCATGGTACGTACAGCGACTGGCCCTGGCTACTTACGAGTACCAGAGTATGGCCGTGTGGTCAGTGCCCGCCGGTCCATGATGGGTTGTTCACGGCGCACCGCGGCGCCAGATGCCCACCGTTAGCTCTACAACGTAATGTGCTGTATCTACTCCGTAGGTAGGGCCCTCCAGCAGATCAGCGTAAGGCGGGAGCTAGCCTGAGCTTTCCGT